AAAACCCGGTTTGCCATTAAGAAGTTTGGACATTTACGAGTCAATTTGTGTGGGTTTTGTCAAAATTGGTTGCGATGGGTTTTTTGACTTTTGGCCTATGGGCGCAACCACTGTGCAGCGGGAAGTGTATCAAGGCTGCACTCGTTATCGACTGCAGCTTCCGTGCGCTCACGACAACCTCCTCGTTCGGCGACGTGACACGCCTCCATGCGTCGCTGACTAAATTGCATTGTGCTGTAATTACATTTGCCACCCCTTTGGCAGCACTCGGGCAGCGTTCCATAAACTTCGTATTCGCTGCTGCAGCTGCCGTTGTCGAGCTGCCTGATGTCGCCTCTGTCCATTGTGCTGGCTCATGGCACACTATCACCGCGCTGACATGCCGTGGCGCAGCTCCATTCCCATTCCCATTCCCGTTCCCATTCACAGGACATTCTCGCATCGCGTGTGCGCCCCGCCCCAGCCACGCCTTGATGTGGCTCCGTCCACTTGAGATACAAACGGTAACCATTTACCTATCTGCCCGTTGCTCGTTTGCAATCCTTCTGGCTTCCATCATTCCGGCTGCAGTGCACATGTTCACATGTTCACATGTTCACATGTTCACATGTTCACATGCCTCGCAACGATATTTATTTATTTATTTACAATGAGAAACGACGAGTCCACCTGAAATTATAGCCACCCATTTGCCCTGCATAAGTGACCCAAATATCTAAAATATCTTAAATCCCAAAGCCACCACCAAGGACGACGTCCCTTAAACTGGGCTCCGTGCAGCTTGTTTACCTCAGACCCGAACAGTTTTTCGCTTTGAGCTGTATGGAAATCATTCGACTGAAATTTGAATATAATACTCTGAGCGTCTTTAAATTTATATTATTTCTATAGAACATTATTTGGGGCAGCAGGACGATAACATTTGCAAAGCCAAATATTGTTTTTATGGAAATAAGTTTATTTAGCGGAAAGAAAAATATGATATGTATATTTATAAATATAAAATATATATATAAATATAAATATAAACAGGGTCGTAAATCAATAAAATATATAAAGAGATATGAATTCTGAAAAATATTTGTAAAATATAAACAAAATAATATAAAATATAAAAAATATCATATAAAATAGAAATAAAATACCATAACTGTATTAAAAATAAAAATTACATTTAAAATATATATATATGTAAATAAATAAATTGAACATATAAAAAATAAATCAAATGAAAAAAGTACATACCAAATATATCAATTTAAAAATACTTACAATATAAATAAATTTTAAATAAATTAATGAATATATATTTACAAAATAAATAAATAAATTTTATTTTTTAAAAACATTTAAAATTACTTGTGATATATAAAAAAAAGTCTTGTTAAATATAAGTATAAACAATTTTAAGAATAAATAAATAAACTTTATTTAAATTATATAAAATAATATATAAAATATATACAAATAACAATATAAAAAGCTTAACATAAATAACAAATTTAAATAAATATATATAGTTTTTTTTTTAAATAAATAAATGAAAGTTATTAAATATATATACAAATAAAAATATACATATATAGCTTATAATAACAAATTTATCATTTTTAAAATTTAAATAAAGTATTTAAATTTTGTTTAGTTATTAATATTTCATTTATTTTCCATATATTTGCATGCCAAAAACATAAATAACAAGTTAAAACTTTTGTCTAGTGCCATAAACCTAAAACCTCGGCTTAACTTAAAGTTTTCTCCATGAGTTTGCCAATACTAAAACATAATTGGCTATGTCTAGTTTTTTGACTCGTTGATTTGAAGTATAACTTGTAATAAATCTTCGAGTACTTGCTGAATGCTTTGACAGCGGAAGACATAACTCTTTTTGTCGCCAAACGGAGTCTCATAACTTTGGATAATATCTGGAGACATGTGGTGTCAGCAAAACTCACACACACACTCACACACACACGAGCGAACCTGTGACACGCAACTGTCAGGCACATAAATTTGCTTTGACTTCGGTTTGGGAAGTCCTCTGATCAGATTACGGAAAATTTGCATAGAAATTATTTCGAGTTTATGCGCGTATTCTCTCACATGTGATTCGCTCGCACTTGAAGCATAAACTGTTTCAATTTAGATGAATGAGAGTGAGTGTGAGTGAGTGTGAGTGATTGTGTGAGTGTGTGTCTGCAAATGGGCAATTCGTAAAGTGAATCCAACTGTTTGTGGCAGCTGTCAGTGCGTCTTATAGAGTGGGCTGATGGTTCCTTAATGAAAGTCAACTTCAGGAATGCCCAGTCGAATGGAATCGAATGAAATTAGTAGTTGACTAGTGGCCATATTAAGGATTCATCTGGGGAATATACACACACACACACACACATGCGCACTTAACTGTTGAACTAACAATAACTTGGTTAATGCTCGTAATGGAAAAGTATACTTTCGACGCCTCTCGCCCCCACTCGATGCGACTAGCTCCCAATTTTGTGCTGTGTATCCATTTGAGTTTCAGTTTTTACCCCTGGCGCAGTGCCATAATTGCATTAAGCACTCACACATACAAAAGTAAATAAATGTATGTGTGTGTGTGTGCACCAGTATATTTCACTGCTCTACTCTGGTCGAACGCGCACGCACTCTGGAGCAACGAGCAAAGCGGGAACAAGTGCCAAAAGTGGGCGGTGGGTGTGTCACACAAACTTTTAATTGACATCCAATAAAATTCGCATTTATTACGCGCACTGCGAACGCCTGAATTAAATTTAATTGCTCGACGAGACGAAATGCAGTTTTCATGACTGAGCCCCAGCAGCACCTGCTGCCGGCAACCTGCCCCCAGCTGGGCGTGTCCGGGCTACGGAATCCATTGTTAATGTATTTTACGTTCGATTCGCTTTGCAGGACTACCACGACGACATTCGGCAGGAGCAAATGTGGGAGATGCAGGCACTCACGTCCACGCCCACGCTGAGCAACCTGGACGACTCGCAGAGTCCGACGAACACGGCGCGCGGCCTCGGCGGCGGCTTGGCCGACATGGACACGTCCAACGACGACAAGTCTGACAACGATGCCAGCGGCATGGATTGCCTCTCGCCGGACAAGCTCGACTGCGGTCAGTCCTGCAGCAGCGGCGGCGGCGGCGACACTCACCCACATCATCAGCAGCAGCAGCAACAGCAACAGCAGCAACAACAGCAGCAACAACAGCAGCAACAACAACAGCAACAACAGCAGCAGCAACAGCACCACCACCACCATCACCACCAGCCAGCGCACTTCCATCAGCTGCTCCAGGCGCACGGCGGAGCCAGCGCTGCAGCTGCGGCCGCCGCCTGCGGGGAGCATCTCGCCGGACAGGCGACTACGGCGACAGCAGCGGCACGTGAGTATCCTTGGCCAAGAAAATGCAATTACCACTAAATCCGAATGGCTGCAAGAGTGCGAGCGAGAGCCATTGTAATGCGCATTAAGCGAATCCCATTTTCCGCCAATAATCAAATTTCATGATATATCCATATATAAATATATATATATATATATATATATGTATACTTATTCGTGAAAGCAAAGTTTCTCATTAGCTCCAGCTGCTTGTGCTCTTAATACCTCATCCTGTCTGCATTAACACTTTTAATTGAATCACGAAACTCATTTGGGCTATACTTGAATTTTTGAGAATCGCGTAGAAGGGCGCGCTATACAATATACAGCCAGCTGGGCATTTAATATGAGAGTTCTCTTGTATTTAGTGAATATTAATATTTACAACATTTATGTAAATATCTTTACACATGGTATACATTATATAATATCTATATATATATTCATATGTGCACCAATTCATGCGTATAACCATAATTGACACAGTTATTCAAATTATACATAATTACATGAAAGTGTTCAATGGGCACTCGATTGCCTCTCATGCATTTGGTTAAATATTGAGTACCAAAAACCACGCACCAGTGCGAATATATGTGTGCATAAATGGGAGACCTTTGGCCTCAAAGAGCACACAGTTAACCTTCCAGTACTTTTAGCTTGAATTGCTTGCCAAGGCTCATATTTGGTAACTCATTTCCAAGTATTAAGTTTTGGAGTCACATTTCCGGCAACTCAACTGGCTTTGGCATAAAGTTAATGAATTCGGATCTTAATCAGATTGAAGGCATCTCTAGTCTACTCCAATTTTATGCCATTTGAGGCGTTTGCCAAATTTCATACAGAAGTCGTGCATAATGAAAGCTATTTGGCAGTAGCTAACAAATAAATAGACATACATACATACATACATATGTGTATGAGGATACTCTGTATCATTTATTATTTTCTATGTATTCTCAGAGCTATACTCTCGACTCTTTAAATATTGTATATGTCCTTCTCTATGCATACGTAAGAGAATTATAAAACAGAAGCTGTCTATAGCACCCTATTATTATAAATATTAATGTACAAAAGCTGTTTATCATATCAGCAATCAGCCTTATCATAAATACATATACATACATATATGAGGTATTCCGATTTAGCTGTTCGTATGTCTGTCTATATTGCTGTCCCTCTGTTTCTATCCCTCTCTCTCTCTCTCTCTCTCTCTCTCTCTCTCTCTCTCTCTCTCTCTCTCTCTCACTCTCTCTCTCTCTCTCTCTCTCTCTCTCTCTCTCTCACTCTGCTGTCTCTCTGTCCGTCTGCCTAACGAAGACGATCATATGTATTCGGTATTTATATTGAAGTCAAAAGAACCTAGAATGGTTGCTGCAGCGAGAGAGAGAGAGAGAGAGAGAGGGAGAGAGAGGGAGAAAGTGTTCCCATTGGTCCCGAAATTCAACTGCAACGACGTCTACCTGTCACCGGGCACAACATTTGAGCGCGACTGAAGCTTTGAATGAAGGTCGTCCTATATAAAGGGCAGTGGCTGCAGCATTTCTTCAGTTGCCCAGGCCCGATAGGTGTCAGTGCGGTGCAGTGAAGTCAAGCGAAGTCAAGAAATACCCAGAGGAGGTACTTATAGGAAACTCTCGCAAATACTGAGAAGCAATACTTGGAAGAAACTCTTCGAGTAAATAGTTATTCAAATTTTAAACTGGCTTCAAATTTCCCTTGCAGTGCACACAACGGCCATGGCTGTGGCGCTGCAGCACCAGCTGACGGCTGCCGGCATCGGTGGCCTGTTGAAGCCAGCGCCTGGTGTGGGCGTGGCCGGTGCCATGTCTGGACTGAACAGTGCGCAGAGCAGCGCCGCAGCGTTGCAGCTGGCCGGCGATGGGGACGCAAACACATCGACACTGACGCTGCTCGATCCGCCCGGAGCTCTACTGCATCCGGCACTGCGCAACGTGAAGGCCATCAACATAGGTGGGTTACCGTTAGTAGTCGTTGCGTGCATTGGGCTTAACCCGCTGTTGATATCGTTGCAGGTGGTGGCCTGGGCCGTAAGCGGCCGCTGCTGGGCGTTCCGCGATCCGGCATGAATCCCACAAAGCGCACCGTGATGAGCCTGCTGGCGCGGGCCAAGAACTCCCAGGCACTGCACACTGTGCGCCAGCCGGTGGTGACAACCACCAGTTTTGCCGAGTAAATACTAGCTCAGTGTTTGGGAGTTGAATTCAATATGTATATTCTGTATGCCTTGCAGGCCCCTCCAGATGCTGGCCTCACCCTTCATCATTCCGCACCAGGGCATGGATCAGTCCATCATAGCGCTGCCCAAGGAGAGTCTGGCCCAAGGCGTCTAACCCTACGACTTTTATACGCTGCGCACCACAGATGGTCGCACCTGACCGACTACAATTTGCCCCGCCTCCTTCTTCTAAAGACACACACACACACAATCGCACACACACACAACAATTTAGGCTTACCAAATTTACGATTTCTAAAAGAAAAACACATACGAAACGATTGGAGTCGATTGGAGAGGAGTCTTTAACGAGGAAGAGCAGCGAGAGCAGCCCATGCCAAGCCATACCAATACCAGAGAGCCTGTCTACACACGATTTGTTTTAAGCGAATTCTAAATAAATAACGCAAGTATTTTTAATGCGATGTTTTATTTCGAAAAAAAAGAGGAAAACCATAAAAAAAGAAAACTTAAAAAAATTAAAAATAAAAACTAAATTAGTGTCAAATTAATGAACAACTTCAATAGAATTACAATGTAAACGCAATTACTTTAAATAAATTACTTTAAATGAATATACACTCACACACACACACACACTTATATATACACAGACAAACAGCATATATATATATATATATATATATACTTGAATATGTACTTAAATCTATATAAATATATTTAAAAAATAAATAAGACGTGTTGAAACCAAGCAAAACTTCAACTTAAACCACACGCCACATAAATTGATAATAAACATTTTTGGAGTATTTTAAGAAGCCAACTCAAAGCCCCAAAGAGAGCTCAGTACAAGAAGAAGAACAAGAAATATTAATGACCACACCACACACAAATTTGTTGATCAGATCGTGAATCGAGAAATATTCCCAGACTCTAGACCCAGGCATAAAGATATTTTACTTTGCATAGATTGGAGCACAACCCGTAGTACACATTGAAGCCATATAATAGATATACATACATGTATGTATATGTATAGAAATATATATATCTATATAGACGATATTCCAAGTCCTGGATAAAAAGTGATCACAGTGATCCCACCGCCTTCAGCTTGTTTCATATTGAACCCAAAGCAAATGTCGTTAACAAATCACAACAAAAGAAAAAATAACAAATTATTCGGTTTCAGTTTAAGCCAAAGAATAAAATATATTAAAGGAGAAAAACATCGAAAGCAACGAATTACTTAACGATATTTTTGCAATTTATGATTATTTAATCGAAAACCTAAAAGTTAAATTATTTTTATAGTTTAATCAAAGCTGAAGACTTAGGAGCTTTCCTGAATCAGTTCTCAACTGATTTGCGTTTCTATTTGTTGCCGAATATAGAAAAGAATATCGGAATATGGTATTCTGGTATTTATGAAGATCATTTCAAATACTCGACAAACCGAGCGAGACAATGTTGAATATCTAAATGTGCACTCGAATGCATTCATAAATAAATATAATCGCAATATGAATAAAAGCCAAATACGAAATACAAATATGGAAAAAATACATACAAACATAAATAGTTTATGCATTAATGTTCAACCGTTTAATCAAAAGGCATATTTACAATTTACAAGCAAAATAGCATTAAATAAAACCAAATATTGATATTGATGTTGAAACAAAAACCAAACCGTGTAAAGTCCTAAATGAAAACACTCACATACAAAATAAAAGTAAAATCTAAAAATAAAATAAAATTTACTCGTACCTACATAAATAACTGCATGTAGAAACTCAAAATATTAATATGCAACTTTAATTAAATAATTAATTAATCTACAAGGTACTCACACACACACACAAATATATAGAGAAAATATTGATGTGAGTAATTGCAGCTACACCACCACAGCTTCGAGCTATTCCCAAAATAAATGCAATATTTTAAAAATACAATAAAAACTCGCCTGTTTTAATCTAATTTTATATAAATAAATAAATAAACTAATTTTTTATAAATATTTGGTAATACAAGAGACCTATATTCATATATTAATTTATTCATATATTCATATATTCATTTATTAATTTATTCATTTATTAATTTATTCATATATTCATTTATATATATATATTTATTTATTCATATATTCATATATTCATTTATACATACATTTATTTATTCATATTTTCATATATTCACATATTCATATATTCATATATTCATATATTCATATATTCATTTATTCATTTATTCATTTATTCATTTATTCATTTATTCATATATTCATATATACATACATATATTCACATATTCACATATTCACATATTCACATGTTCATACATATTCACATATTCACATATTCAGATATTCACATATTCACATATTCACATATTTACATATTCACATATTCACATATTCACATATTCACATATTCACACATATTTACATATTCACATATTCACATAATCATATATTCATATATTTACATATTCACATATTCACATATTCACATATTCACATATATTCTTATAGGCATCCGTAATATGATACCTCCTCAAGCCAGGAGCCAGGATATTTTCTCAGTATATAACGTCGCATGGTTTCTAAAAGAACGGTTAGTATGGCCAACGGAAAGACATATAGGAAGATGGGTAGATAGCTGCAAGACGTAAATTAACATTCAATGAATATATTCGATATGCTCCATTGAAAGCACGCACTCGACTGGTAAACTCTGCAGTTGCTCGGGCGCACTGGTAAAGGTGAACAGAAAACAGATGCCGATCATATAAACGAGGGCAAGGTTCAGGCGAAGGTTGCCAAAGCCATGGCTTAAGAGATTGACGCGCGCTGTTTTGGAAATGACAAGATTGACCAGCTGCATCACAGTCAAGGTGATGACGATCACCGAAGTCATCTCATACTCCAGCTGAAGCCGTGCACCGCGCGTCTGCAGACGAAGTCGCTAGGACGAGAGATCTCTGTTGAGAATCGCACAGTTACTTGCCCATTCTTGGCCATAGGAGTCCATCATATCATTGAGGGAATCGTCGTACCATCGCACACTGAGGCCGAACAGGGCTCCCGGCAGGAAACCATTGTGCAGCATATAGACAATGTAGGCCAGTACCACGGCGCTGGCCTCCAGGAGGCCTACATTTATGTAGGACACAAACAGCATGCTAGAACATGAATAGATGGAAGATTAAGCTGGGTTCAGCTAAGGAATTGCTGCTTTACCGTCGGTTAACCAAGAAATCCTCATTGACCCGCGGTATTACCTTCATAAGATCAAACTCGGCAGGCTCATAGAAGAGCGTGGAAGCGGGTATCTGGAAGGAAAAAGAAGCTAGAGAGTCTCACCCTGCGCTGCCCAATGCCTTACCAGATTCACAAAGATTGAAATGAATATCGACGGCACCAGAGGCATTCGGAATGGCATCTGCAGCACTACGAACAGAAAGTGAATCACTACCATGGACATATTCGTGGCCATCGCATAGACCAAGGCCTTTTTCTGGTTCTCAAATAGCAGACGACTCTGGGCAATGGCCCTCACCACCGTCACAAAGTTGTTCCCCAGCACAATGATGTCGGCACAGGACTGGCTCACCTGGGACGAGGAGGCCTCAGAGACGCCCACGTTCGCGCACCGAATGGCCGACGTATCGTGGACGGAGCTGCCGATCGCCGTGACCACAGCGCCCAGCTGCAGGCAGCTATCGATGATCAGGTAGCGCTGGGAGACGGCAATGCGGCTGAAGACGACGTCCACATGGGAGAGGAGCAATTGCTCGATGTTCCAGCGCTGGTGATGCACCTGCGTGCTCATGTTCTGCATGTTGACCGTGACGGCTGTGACCAACCGGTGCTCGACCCGGGGCAATGCCATGTTGAATGTCTCCGCCATGTCAGCGATGTCGCTGTCCTCCTCAAAGACGCCCACAGCTCTGGCAATGGCACTCGCGAAATTCACGTCGGTCCGGGTCATGAACACCAGCTTGATGCCCGCAGTGCGACACTGAGCGATGGCATCTATGACATGGGGATACGGCGGATTTTGTGCCGCAATGAGGCCCAAGAAGCACATGGAATTCGAATACGTGTTCATGAAGCTGAAAAAGACCTTATTGTTGCTATAACTGAAACTGTTCGAGATCAACGACAGCATATAGTCATCCGCGGGCAGGCGTTTGGAGGCAAAGGCATATGTGTGCCTGCCCAGCTTCTCCAGCTGGAGGCCATGACTAATCACCTCATCTTGCAGTTCGGCGCTCAGCTCAACTGGCTCAGCCTCATTCTCCATATAGCAAGTGGTGCAGTGATCCATGACCTCGGCCCAATGCCCGCGTATATATAGATAATACTCCGTCTCATCATCGTCGTTGACCGTCACATGGACGCTAACCTGCAGACGGCTAATGAAGTCCACGGACTTGTAAGCGACCCTCTTATGCTTGACGCGCAGCACATGAAGGCTCTCCACAAACCGGATGGCGAACTTGAGCACCGCCTTCTCGTACTCGGTGCCGTCGAGCGCCTGCTGGTTGGTGGGCAGGCCCCTCTGGCCGGGCGCGAAGTTGGCCTGATTGCACAGTACGGAGGCGCGAATCAGATGCCGGAAATGATCCGTCTCATCGAAATCCGATTGCACATTGAGCAGTTCGCCATCGACAAACAGCTCGGAGATCTGCCAAGTGCGCTGCGTCATGGAGCCAAGCAGGTTAGAGCAAATAACGGTCGTCAGGCCCAGAGTGGAGACCGACTCCATGTTGCGAACGTAGCAGCCGATCTCAGTCAAATTGTTCTTGGTGATCCACAGGCCAATGAACACCAGGCTGGGGAAATATAGAGGTGACGAGGATACCGTCAGGCTAACATAGAACTCAAGCAGATTGGGAATACTCAGGCCCGTCAATGTTACACATATAACGGTAGCGCATAACATGATGAAGCAGACGACGTACTTATAGAAGCCCAACTGAAGTAAGTTGAGCAAATGAAGATCAAAATTTGCAATTAGAATATACATATATAGAGAGTATTGTGTCGCCGACCTGCTTCATGTTCTTACGTGGTCTGGTCAGCGGACGTGGCTCCATGCACAGACGTGCCATGATCCCAACCTCGGAGTCATCGCCACAGGCAATGACCAGGCCCCGGCCGGAGCCCTGTGTGACATGGCTGCAGGCCAGGCCCACATTGCGCGAGATCCATTTGTCTTGATGCATAACATCCGGATTGATGGTCACCGACGTCGAGTACCCAGTGAGCGCCACATTATTCACCTCCAAATCCTCGGAGTAAAAGATTCGAACATCGGCCGCAATGCGCTCCCCATACGCGATCATCAGTATGTCGCCCACAACGACATTTTCGGAGCGTATTATCTGCATCCGACCGTCTCGGACAACTGTACAGTACATGGGCATCAGGTCCATGAATGCCCAGGCAACCAGGTAGTCGTCGTTCTCCTGAATATAGCGAAGCAAGCCAGACACTAGAAATACTATCAACAAAATAATGGTGACCGTTAGGTATTCATATTCAGCCTGCCGATCGGTTGGGTTCTCCTGCTCCATATAATACAGAATGAAACTGAAAATGATGGCCATAAAGACTATTGAAGCCAGGCCACGAAAACAGTTCTTGGCAAACCTCACACATCTGAATTCGGGTCTCTCCGGCAAGCTCATTTTATTTTTGCCATTTAAGGCCAAACGCTTGGAGGCCACTGCAGAAGTTAGGCCCTGAAACGATAAACAACATTTGCTTCCTCCTTCGACTCTGTTGTCTGTTGACTATCGTAGCCAATGCTCACTTTTATCGGACAGGTCTCAAGCTTGATGCATAGTCTATCAAAGTCGTCTGTATGCCATGTCGAGTTCCCTTCCCCAGCCATGTCTAGATATTATAATATAAGTCTTATTATTCTCATTTTATATTTCCGACTTACTTAGGCGAAAAGGTCTATTTTCGTATTGCCGTTTAAGATTGTAATTAGAATTTGCTCTAATATGTATGATGAGTTTGTCGAATGCTCCTATGAAAGCAACTTCTAAGCTATCTTCCTTGATCTACCTACCCTTCACTCTCTCTCTCTCTCTCTCTCTCTCTCTCTCTCTCTCTCTCTATTATGCTGTCTCACTTTTTTCTTCCTTGCCTTCCAGTCGTTTACGTATCTCCCCCTCTCCCACTCAGTGTTTCCCTCACTTTTCTTTTCCTTGATTATACGATAATACTAAGAAAACGTCTATTAAGTCTACGCAGATATACGTACAAGATTTATTTGTTTTCGACCGGCATTCCAAGATATATTTTCTGCTCTCAAAGTAAAAGAGATTTCCTTTGTTTAGCCAGCAAACAGTTGTAATCAATGATTTTTATGGATATTTATATGTTTTTCGCTGGCTCCAAGGGCTTCAAATAGGTCTCTGGCAAGAGAAACCATGAGGCCTTCACTCTTGCCAGCAATTGAGGCTGAGCTACATAAATTTGTGTATTTATGTTAACGAATTGGCGTAAAATCGATCGACTTTGTTTTTTAAATCAGTAATAATCGTAAAATTTGTTTCATTGTTGTTCACACATAAAGTGCCGGATGCGCTACTGAAGGAAACATACATATATATTATATGTACATATATGTATATGTGTGTGTGTGTGTATGTATTTGTATGTGTCCATGTCCGGTTGCTCAGCTGAAAGAAAAATCTGAAGTATGTTGTATACCTGAGTTGACTTTTTCTTGATATGAATTCCGTCTGTTCCGTCGCACTTTATTGCCACATTTAATGGCACATTAAAATTTGATTGCCCAAAAGAATATGACATAAAAATGCATAAACATACATTTGCTTATATAAGCGGATACTTGAATATGTGAGTGCATATTGTCATTGCATGAACAAGCTGTTAGTTGTCCGATTATATTTAATATATTTTGAATGCATTTTGAAAGAGCAGAAAAGAGGACTAAATTCTTTTATATATTACTGTACATATATTATATATTATATTATATTATTTTTTCCCATTTCCAATTATATCCAATTATGCAAAGATATTTCAATAGCTTTTGGGATCGAATTTGTTTAAAATTTTAATTAGATTTACTATTTGCAGTCAACAGAAATTAGCAAGGGGTTTCACAGGTTCAAGTACTTTCAATAATATGTACGATAATTATAATAATTCAAGTTTATTCATTCAAATTCAAGTAACCTTTGAAATAAATATGACCTTCCATATAACACCTATTGCACATATCCAAAACTAGTCACATTTTAACACTTTATTGAAACTTCAATTGAATTTATTTATCCGTTATATTATTCAAAAAGAAAACACTTCGAATTACGCGAAAGAACGCGTCCAACTTGTATCTATATGTATATAAGATAATATCAAATTTCTAGTAATTTTTTATTAAATCAATGTAATTGCAATGGGCGCTATGAAAGTTCTATGTGTATTAACTATCATAACTTCGCTGATCTGCGCACAGACAAGAGGCTCAAAATGTGGGTGCAGCTGTATATAGAAATATATTCCATATGTTCAGTTATACAATATTTAAGTACAATTCATAGATTCAATATTTTGCCACTGGGATACTGACTCCTACGATCGCAAGGGATTGAGCTTCTTCAATTCCTGGACAATAGACAGAAGGTTGTGCACACATTTCATCTATGGGTCTGTGGCCAGTTTGGATCCCGAGGGATCGGGCGCCGTGAAGGTCATAGATGATGCAGTGCTTGAGAAGCGAGGTAAATATCTCTCTGCAGACAGCTTGGAGTCGCAATTTAATCGAGTGTCTCCCGCAGGACTCCTGGCCGATATCTTGAGTATGAGACGTAACAACTATCAGGCAATTCTCTGCATTGGCGATAGCAAGGGCGATGCCGAAAGATTCTCCAAGATGGCAGCGAGCCTGCGCAAACGCAATCAGTTTTATGTTACTCTAGCGAAATTCCTCTTGGAGCGGCACTTTAGCGGAGTGCTCCTGAATTGGGAGTTTCCCACCCAGCATGGGGGTCATTTCGTGGATCGTTATAACTTTATCACATTACTGAAAGAACTAAAGGTCATGTAAGTGCAAGGGAAATTCCATGAGTCCTATAAAGTCTAAAAACCTCTCAAATAGCCTGGAGGAACATCACTTGCTGCTTCTGGTCACCGTCTCTGCGCGGCTGGACAAGCACACTCTGGCTGCGTACGATATTCCCAGGATAGCGAAAATCGCCGATTTCATCATACTCAACAGCCACGACTCGCAGGACATATACGCGCAGCAGGTGAGCTACATGTCGCCGCTCCGTGGCAACGGCAGTCAGAGCGTGGAGCGCAGCGTCAGGCACTGGGTTGAGCAGAGCAAGATGCCAGAGAAGCTGATCCTTGGCATTCCGCTGTTTGGACAAACGCACACCCTTCGCGACCAGAGCAAGACGCATGCCAATGCGCCCAGCAAGGGACCCGGAATACAGCACTTTTTGTCCAAACGACCCGGGTACATGACCTACGCCGAGTTCTGCGTACAAGCGTCCAGGTGGACAAAGAAGTTTGACAAGCAGGCGCATGTGCCGTACGCCTTTAAGGCTAACCAGTGGATTAGCTATGAGGACGGCAGCAGCATTAGCGCCAAAATGCGTCTGGTTAATGATCAACGATTGGGCGGCGCCCTGGCGTGGTCCATTGATGCCGACGACTACTCTGGCCTATGCGGTGAGTACTACGCTCTGCTGAAAGTAATCGTATCGAAAATAGGCAATCCCGATGTCCTAACAACTGTCCCGCCCACCACCGAGAGCATCGGCCTCTGTCCCAGGGAGGGACTGTTCCGCAATGTGTGGGACTGCCAGGCGTATTATGAGTGCCGCGACGGCCGGCGCACCGACTACGAGTGCCTAGACGGCGACTTCTTCGACGAGGAGGTGGGCGAGTGCAAGCCCGCAGAGCAGGTCAAGTGCTCCAACAACTTTGTCACCTGGCGTCCAGGCCAAGATAACTACAACTTCCGCGACCTGCCCCTCAACCTGAAGGTAGTTGACTAACTCTCAGCTTCATTGTATACATTCCAGTTTATGGTAAATAGTCAGTAAATAATAAATTCTTTCGGCTGTGCAATTAGCATTCTACTAGATCTACATAGTTGCAGCTGTTTGTGTTGGTATCGAACACCAGACCCGATGGACAGTTGAACATGAAAGTGGCACCGCCGCTGCAGTAATAGAACTTGGAACAGTTGTTGGGATCCTTCACATAGCCGTCGATGTCGTGGCAGCTGGACTCAGCGACTCCTCCTCCGCTCTGAGCTGCTGCTGCTGGCTGCTGCTTCTCACCTGCGAGTCCAGTCGGATTGTCCCTCCCGAAGAGCACCCGGTTTATATTGCGCAGCAGGGGAAAACTTTCGCCGCCACAGCTGCCATGAAAGTCGTCCGACTCGAGAGACCAAATCATGATGCCGCCCAGTTTGTGATCCATGGCATATTGTGCTTTTAGCCTCAAGCTGTTCGTGTTCTCGTAGCCCACCCATTGGCGCTCCCTGAAGGCGAATGGCACTTGTTGCATTGCCTCCCAGCCCAACGTCCATTGCTCGCGCTGAAAGAGCTCGCACAGCTCATTGTAGCCCAGTACGCCCGGCTCCCGTGAGTAGGGCCCAGCTATGCCGCGTCCTATGTGCGCTGCACCGGGCAAATGATCCTCGGCCGAAGCTAGTGTGAAGGTACGACCATAAAAGGGCACTCCGAGTATCAGTTTCTCAAGCGGCGCTCCAGAGTCTATCCAATACGTGATGACTGCATCCACGTTCAGCTGCTGTGCCCGTTGCGTCGTATCGTTTGCGCCCGCATATAAGGGCGCATTGATGCCCACAGATTCATCCCACGGACCGTGCAGGTCGTAGGCCATTACATTAATTATATCCAAGTACTCAGATATGGCTGGTATGTCATACGATATGCTGGCCGAAAACTCTGCTGAGCCCACAGCAGCGCTGAGTATGTAGCCAAAGGGATTCAGACCCGCCTTCAGTTCCTTGAGCAGAGCCACATAGTTTTCGCGATCGTTGTTCTCGTTCAGATTATGCCGCTGTCCTGGATATTCCCAGTCCAGGTCCAGTCCATCGAAACCATGCCGTTGGATAAACTGAACGACTTGCTCAACGAAACGCGAACGCTTCTCCGGATCGTTGGCCACAATCGAGAAGCGTTTGGAGCCCTCATTCCAGCCGCCAACAGCGACCAGCGTTTTCAGCGTGGGGTTCTTTAGCTTGAGCGCATTAAATTTCTTGATGTTGCCAAGACCTCCATTGTCCTCCAGGTCTAGATAGGGATCTATGACACGCAGCTCGCCGCTCTCCTGTATGCCCAGAAAGGCGTATACCAAGTGTGTGCACAGAAACGGATCTATGTCCTCCACACCAAACTTGCCCTCCTTCGGCCGATAGACAGACCAAGTGCCCTGGTAGCACACAACGTGCTCTGCGTGCGGATTCATGGATAACTATTATTATTAACCTGTTTTTAATTTACATATACTTACTAGTGGGCTCCGTTGCTCCTGCAATTGCCATCAGCGGCAATGCAAACAATAATCCTAAAATCCAACAGTTCCACATTACAAGTTAGCCTTTTCAATTCTTTTACAACATTGATTAAGATTTTTGTCTTACGCTCGTATTTTATACAATTTGTTGGTGTGCAAAATAAACATAAACAATGTAATCGATAAGTGCAAGTTGTTGTTAAATAAAAGCTACAAGAACGTAGCAATAAAAGCAATCGAAGTGTTTATTCTTGCTCCAACAGCAAGGTAAATAATGAAAGAATTCTCGGCTGACCAAAGACACACGATTCGCGACATACGATTCGTTTAAACAGTTGAAGGTCGGTTAAGCAGTGTGACCAGCCATCAGGCACAGGGAAAATAACGCATTTAGAACTTCTTCAGCTTGGCCAGTTGATTGTTGCGCCGCAGAGCCATTTTACGCAGGCGACGCCAATACTGTTTGGTGTTGGGATCCAATTCTTCCAGCGGTATGATGCGTTCGGTATTTAAGGTCCACAGCCAGTCTGGGTACTCCGAGTCAGGTTTGAGCTGCAGATGAGCAACGATTGATTAATTACACCAGCAGTACACTTTTATATCAAATTGATATTTACCTTGATGTCCTCGCCAGTCTTCATATAGTTGCTGCCGCACACGTAGTTGACCAACTTGGTTGCATCCGTTTCAACTGGTATTATCTTCTTTTCCATGATGGGCCCCAGCTTACCCAGCTTCTTCTTTTTGCCCACTATATGGTTACAATATTCATATTACATTATCAATCAATGTAAATAGGAATATACAAATGATGACAGACTCACCTGCTGCCACAGCAGCCGGCTTGGCTGCATAGCATCGCGCCGCAGTCGCTGAGAAGGTGAGGCGCTGCCTCAACAAATTGAACGTAAGCGTCAGGTGGTTCATATCTGTAGTATTTATAGTTGACTATGAGTTCAACTTCAAATTTTAATTCATTCCTATATTTACAGCACGCTTTAACAATAGCGATACAGTTGTATAACCAGACTAAATTCTACAAACGGTCACACATGAAATAATCTATCGGAATCATTCCTGCGCCGGCAAAAGAGCGATAACAAAATTATACAAGTTGAGCATATGCGAATTTGAATAAAATAATGCCGACATTTAAACTGCGGCTTCCGTCTAATCGGACACTGGGCAACATATGTGTATATGGCGCCATGGTGTCCATCTCAGCGGTGATGTTCATGCGCTGGAAACTCGAAGATCGTGTGCGTTCCTCAGAGTATTATAAATTGGCACTGCAAACACTACGCCAACACAAAGGTAAGGTGGATAGACCCAGCCCAGCTGTTCGGTTAAAATGTAAACAAGTTTTGTAGGTGCGGTCGGATTGCTAGGCGAACCCATCAAGGACTCTGGCTTCGACATATCTAATTCGGCCAATTCGTGCAATGCTGAAAGGGCCCAATTCGAGATTTCTGTGCGTGGTCCCAAGGACAAGGGCAAACTTTTCTTTTGGGCAATAAATAAGGAAGACGGCTGGCTCATAGATCGACTAGAGTTGGAGGCCAACCAGCATCCCAATAAGCGTTTTTTGCTTAAAAAACAAGATGAATACTCGGTACAAGACCAAACGGAGCCAAAGCACTCCGAATTACCTCCTGGCGTACCACATTATGAGAGACACGGATACCCGAAGCCACAGCCGCTGCACCAAGCGGAAGAATCATCGGCTTATGTCCATACGGCGGATGGCGGACGCATGCGATAAACCAAAATTTTCAATTTATATCATTTATTGTTATTAAATTTGACTATGCAAGCTTTTAATTATCAGTTTTAGTATACAAAAAATTTCAAAAATAAAACCAAAGTCTCATTGAACAAAGAACTTATTTTTCATGTTTGTTTATGCAGCGCTCTTTTGTATAGATATAAATATATGTATGTATATTTATATTAATAGTTTTTGTTAATTAACTTGCAATTGCGTAGGTGTGTTTATTGAATGCATAGAATTATTGTTCGTTTTTTAAAAAAGATTGTATATAAATCGTTTATACTGTTACTGTTTGCTTGCAAGGTGCTGTCGCTTAAGATCTAACTGATGCCAGCTTCAGTGAGAGATAGAGAGACAAGGGTTACATACATAAATGGACCGATGCTCTTATAAATTTATAATACATTATTGAAAGTACATGCATTCTATTATTATTATCATTATTATTATTATTAGAATTAAAAACACGCGCTTAATTAAACGATAAAGGCGACTGTTGGTGGCGATTGTGACTATGATCCAGGTTCGAGCTGAGGACAATCATCCAAGTTTAATTGATTTGATACATTGTGTTGCACATACACGAATATGTGCACATAGTATGCGTATTGTGTGTGAGTGTGTTGGTGTATGTTTCGTTTATATATATATATATACATATCCACTTTCATCGTAATATAACAGATAAGAAATGTATGCACTGTGCACGTATATGTATGTAGATGTAGTAGTTAAGTATTGATGCATGTGTTGTGTTGTGTAAAGGATAAGCAAATTAAAGACAGTTATTACATAAGCGCCAACATTTAACGATCGTAAATAGATAGTGTATATATATGGTTCTGGCTGCGATCTCCGTTTCTGCTCCGTTCACTACTCTCGCTTGGCCATTGCAAGTGGAAGACTGTTGGGTCTCTTGATCTGCGACTGCGCCGGCACTGCCATGGGCAACGGGGATATTGGCGTGCCACCGGCTTCCGCTTGCTGCTCCTGTTCTTATTGCGTCTTTAGCTCTTTACCAATACTGTACGATACGATTTTGCTCCAGTCAATCTTGGTTTTGGTTATGGGCAGCTGTCGCCGCATCGCCTTGAATGTGGTGTCCGACATAGTTTGATAGTTCTCCGAGATGGCCAGCTGATACTCGTTCTCCGCCTCCTCAATCAGGCGAATGACCTCGTTGGCCAACTGCTGTTCATTGGAGACAACAACGCTCTCGCGGCAATCCTTCGATGACACCAGTTGAACATTGCCATCTTCATAGTAGTGCACCTGCACCTTCAGCACGCCCTTCAGTTCCGCCAGGCCGCACCCAGGTTGGAAGCTAACGTGCCACTGCGAACGCCATCTGCCATTCCAATAGTTCTTCGGCTGGAACTGATGATCCTCAATGCAAATGGTCAGAGTTATTTGATTTCCCTGAGACTTTCCAAACACTGAGCACACCTGTACCATGAATAAATCGTACATAAATATATATATTTACCAATGTATTTGGTTAATTGAACTTACGCCGTGCCTATAGTGGTTGGCGGTATATGCTAAGGCAGCTAGATCAAGAGCAGCTCGCCACGATTCTGCATTGGCATCTACCTTCAGATCCTGGTAGTCGGAAGCCTCTTTCCGTAGGTGATCGTACTTAAACGATTGCTTTGTGCGAGGATCAAAGAAGCGACCATTCCCTATAAATATAAACAACTTCGATTAGAAAATTTACTAAAAGACGGGGGAAATTGTTATATCTTATCAATATCTATGATAAGAAATCTTTAAAAAAAATTGTCGAGTGACGAATTTAGAAATATAAATAAATAATATTATTACAAAAACTCAAACTCAATTTTTAAAAGGCACCCAAAAATGGAATTAATTTTATCTATGACTAACTTTTGATAATATAATGATGATATCTGAAATTCACAAGGCGAATTCTAATTAGAACTTTATTTTAGCTTGCAGTTAATGAATTTTAATAAAAATATACTATTACTTTAATGAATTATTAACATTTAATTCAACGATTGCTTCCACTGTAACGAGTTTTAAATACTGTGAGCGCGCGTGTGTATATATAAGTGTGTGTGTGTGTTTTGGCTGACTCTGCAACGTATGCCCATATATGGTAAACGCCACAAAAACATAAGCAAACAAACTCTCGGCAGCTGACGCCCACTCCTCCTCCTACTCCGATGCCCAACCACTACCCCATTCCATCACTTGCAGGCAGAATTGCATAAATTGGAGTTGATATACGCACCCAAATCATTATACTCGGAGATGATCGCATTGTGTTCACTGCCCTCGACCCGCACGGGCGTTAGTTGGTCCTTGTTGTATTGGGAGAAGGCGTGGCTGGCGCCATCCTTCAGCAAGGAATCGTTCTTCAGTAGCTCGCGGACATCGTTGAATACCTCATTGAATTCACCGGGCGGCGCATGCAGTATGAACTCGGAGACAATGCGAACCTTTTCCGCATCTGTAATCTGTGTTTGTTCCATTCTTTCGTTTGGTGATTCACGAATTCGGGGCAGTGTTTGGTTTTTAGGTTGTTATTGTTGTTGCTGTTGGTGATGTTAAACTATCGCAGTATTGCACAGTACGTGTATATGGGTGTGCAAGGCAGTTGCTACTGGCATGTGTTTCCGCCAATAATGTTTGAAACTTAATTTTTCTACCCGTATAAAAGTTAATCCGGCCTTTTTCTACTTTTTCAAGCAATTAATGAAAAGACAATGAACGATGACGATGACAGAGTTTTTCATTTGGTATTTATTTAGTATATTAATTAGTGACTAGTGCACCATCGCATTCATATATCGATATTCGAGAGCAAATTTAACGATACTGCGCTATCGCTATTTTGCCGGCTAACAAATTTCTTACTTATGTATTTATTATATTAGACAGAATTGGTTTTAAGAGATTTAGGAATATAAAATATAATTTTAATAACGTATAAATGTACTAAGAATATATGGCGAGCTAAACATACTGTAACATCCATGTATGTGTGCATCAACGTTTAACAAAAACAAATACATACTTTTAGGATCAATTAATCAAAAAGCAAGTAGGTTATTTTCGGAGTTCGAAGATGCCTTGATTCAAGTATGTTCGAAAATTTATTAAAGCTCGAATAAAATATTAACGGATGCTCTACCTTTGTTAGGTAGATCTATAATGTAATAGAATAAAGTACTTAGTACATAAGCAAGTATTGTTACATTTTTAAACAATACACAACATTCAAATATTATACATATACAATCGTTAAAGTAACATTTAGATAACGGAGCAAACATACAAAATGCTTCGAAGTCGACGGCTACTAACATCATCTCCAAACTTTTGGATCTTTACAGAAGCCCTTATGTCAATTAACAGCATTCACAATATACTATCGCATATATTTAATATCGATATATCGGCTTTGTTGGCTGCTCGCTCGCTGAATTGCCGCTCATTTTCGGCTTGTTGCTCATTCCGTCTCTCGCTGTTAAATCGTGCGGACGCTCGTATATTTCGGTTTCGCGTTGCCGCTCCGCCTCATCTAACGGTTGCTTTCAAACAAGATCACAAAGCAATTGTGAATAAAATTGTATCAAAACAAAACGCCGATATACATATAATTCAATACGAATAGAGTTAAAAAATGTTAACGACTGTTTTGTAGTGCAGTGCTAGCAATCAAACAACGAATAAACCGAGCTTGTGACTTGTGCAAACGGCATAAAAGTAACAAAAGTGCCTTTTTTCTTGGTTTTGCCAACGTTTACACTCAAACACACACGTGTATTTGTACATGTTGGTAACAAATACAAGTGCACTGACCAAACAACGCTCTTAAGCACACACACACACTCACTTACGTTACTGTGAAAGAGCCAGCCTCTATGTGTGTATGCGCGCTTGCGTGTGTGTGAAACCGCTTTTTACCTGGATTTACCTGTTTGTTCGCGAGAGTGAAATAAACCGTAGAGCCGCAACAACGAAGAGCTGAACAAAGCAAAGTTGGCAATCAATGTGAATACCAAAGCAAATGAGTGAATGCTATTCTTAAGTTCAATGAGCATAAATGCTGAAAGTTGAATGAAAATTAATTAAATTAATTGCAAGTTGATTTGAGTTCGATTTTACAAAGTATTTCGTGCGTCGGTTGCCATGAAAATGCAGTCTAAACAAACTGCCAAACACACGAACACAAACAAACGATTGTGAGAGTGAGCGGGAAAGAGATAGAGCAAGAGCAAAAGAGAGCAAGAGCGTGAGCAAGAGAACGAATTTCAAGAATTCGAATTCAATAGAAAAGTAAAGTAACGTGAAACTGTGATCCACACACACACACACATATATATATATACATATATTGTATATACAAAGATATCGAAATCGTGGAAATACAAAAAAAAAAAAAAAATACCGGGTGATTCATTTAGTGATTTTTGTTGTTTTGTTGCTACGATGATATCGACAACTTGATTAGATTGAAATCCCCGCTCACGTGCGTCGCCCCCCCACGCCTTCCGCCTTCCGTGTGCACAGAATAAAATGCAATAAAATGTCTTTACACTCACAATACGAGAGCAGCAGCAGCAGCAGCAGCAATACAAATCCCGCTCAACAGCAGCCACATCAGCAACACAAGCGAAAATGTCGCTCTACAGCAACAACAACAACAAGTTGCTACACCTGCCTTCGGTCACAGAGACCGGCGATGATAGCACTGGCTGTTGTTGTTGCCGCCTTCGTTTGCTTACCCGCCCAGTTTGTCGGAGCACTGCAAGCCGTCTCCTCCAGCTCCAGCTCTAGCAGATACGACAACTACTTGGGCGACAATCGAAAGCCCGCGTTCAAGAACTGCGCCGGCTATGCGCCATCCGTCAAGGAGGAGCAGCCGGAGAATACGTACGTGTTCACCGTGCAGGCAACAGACCCGGATCCCAATCAGGAGATAACCTACAGCCTGGTACAGTCAGCCTTCGATCGAGCCAAGTTCGTCATCCATCCGACCTCCGGCGTCATTGTGACGGCGCACATCTTCGACCGCGACGAGCCCATTCACGAGAAATTCGTCTTCGTCACGGTGCAGGCCACGGATAACGGCCTGCCGCCGCTGGACGATGTGTGCACCTTCAATGTGACCATCGAGGATATCAACGACAATCCGCCTGTCTTCAACAAGGCACGCTACGACGAGTCCATGTCCGAGAACACCATGGTGAGTTATCCTTGCAAGCCGAGCACTCGGCGTCAGTCGGAGTCGAATGTGCGGACCACGGATTACCGCCATTTGATCTGCGTCTGTGCCAAATGCTCTGATCTGAATAATTAATAACTTTAAGTCAAAGCTAGAAATTTGTAAAGTAAAAAAATATTTTAAAAATACTAAAAAAAACCTGCTGTATTATCGTTATAATAAGGGATTTTAAATAGGATATAATATGTTAATCAACTTAAATTATACTGCAACATTCAAGAAAATGGAAAGAAATCATAAAAGAAAAAATTGTAGATGTCAGAAAAATATAAAAGTCAAAACGTCAAATGCAGACAAATAAAATAATTAACATATTTAATTCACACAGAGATAAGCCATAAAAAGTCATATGATAGTATCAGTAATTAAAGAGAGAATAGAGAATAGATAAAATAATATTTATGCATATATAAAAAAGCTGAATTAAATATATTTAGAAAAGAATATTATAATATTTTTTACTACCTTTGTAAAAGTATATATTTAGAAGAGAATATTATCATTTTATTTTACTACCTTTGCAAGAGTATAGCTAGCCAGTTGCAGCAGGATCTCAGTGTGCGTGGGAGTGGGCGTTCAACTGGAAAAGCTGGTTAGGTTAAAGCAAAAAAAAAAAAAGAAAAAAATGGCATAGGCACAGGTTGGGGTTCATTGTTCTCAGCTGGCAGTTCGCAGTTCTCAGTTCTCGACTCGATGAGTCAATCCCGAAACCTTGAAGCGCTTTACCTCTCAGCCCACGTTAAATAGTTCTTAAAAGCTGCCAAACGAGTCAAGACCTAAGTCATGTTAGTCTGGAAGTGGAAATGGCTTCTATTAATAGTCTAGATAAAATCTAGAGTTTACTAAGAAAACAAGGTAGGCATACAGAGAGAACCCTAATAATATAGAAAATTATACTATAGTCCATATATAATATAGATAAAATGAAATCTAATTTGAGTTTATGTTAATGTTAAATAAAGCAACTAATTTCTGATATTAGATTTTGGTGAATAATTTAGATAAAAGAGAGATAAAAATGGGAATAGAGACTTTCTTTAAAATATGTAATGAGTTCTATGTTAAACAGTTCCCGTGACCTAAAGCCATATATCACAAAAAGACCTTGAACTATTTTATTTATATATATTTCTCGTTTGCCCTGTGCAAGTATTGATTATTTAGGGATTATGCGAGAGCCCCAGCACAAATTGGATCAATAAATTAAATACAGTAATACCTCAATAGCATGCTATTAAAATGAATATATAAATTATTTACGAGTTCATTGATCTAAAAACTCTAAACTAAATCAGCAAAAATTTGTAGTTAGTTAACTTTTGCTTTTGAAAATGGAAGAAGACGAGGTGAAGCTTGAAAAACAGTTTGTTTTCTCAGTATAAAAATGGCGAAAGTTACAGAAGGCGTCTCTCAAGGTGTTTATAGAAATTGCGAATTCGCCAAGGTTACAATTAGCGTGTGGGCACTGTAGTAAAGGGCGCAAGTCTCTGGCTTGTCCGGTTACAGTTTTTCCATTTCCAAGCAGACTTTTCAGTTGGGTTTCGTGCTCACACTTGGCAGTCAGCATAGGTTTTTCATTTGAGGAAAATGTGCATAATCGCAGTGTGGCAGGCAAGTTTTTCACTGTAGGAGGGAGGGAATGAGAACTGAAACTGGAGCTAGAACTGGAGCATCTTTCCCATATAGAACTTCAATCGAAATTGTTTTTGTTCTTTCTTTGGTCTACTTGCAGATCGACGCAGTGGTCATGTCGATCAGTGCCAGCGACTTTGATGATCGCAACAACAGCATCGTGGAGTATGAGATATTGCGGGAGCGAGACTTTCAATACTTTCGCATCGACAGGGAGTCGGGCATCATCTATCTGAGTCGGCCGATCGACAGGCGGCCCGGTCAGACCTATACGATAAATGTGCGCGCCTTTAACATCGTGCCAGATCCGCTGCAGGAGGCGCACATCGAGGTGCGCATTCGTGTGGTGGAGTCGTCGATAAAGCCACCCTCGTTCGTCGATCCCATTGACGAGCCCATCTACCTGAAGGAGAATCTGAAGAACTTTTCGCAGCCAATCGCAACGCTGCGCGCCGTGTCCAACATGCCCGACAAGCCGGAGGTGATTTTCGAGCTGATCACGGGTCGCACCGAGCAGACGAACGGCAAGAATACGTTCGTCTTCAACCAGATTGGCAACGAGGTGACCATCAAGCTGGGCAAGAGCCTCGACTACGAGGCCATCACCGAGTACACGCTGACGATGAGCGTGCGCAACACGTTCGAGCTGGCCGCTGAGCATCAGATCAAGATCAAAGTGGAGGACGTCAACGACAACATTCCATTCTTTACGGAAGTCAAGTCCGGCACGATATTGGAGAACGAGCCGCCGGGCACGCCAGTGATGCAGGTGCGCGCCTTCGACATGGATGGAACGCCGGCCAACAATATCATCACCTTTGAGCTAGTCGACAATCGTGAGATCTTCGCCATCGATCCGAACTCGGGCAACATCACGGCGCTGACCACGTTCGATCGGGAGGAGCGAGACTTCTACAACGTGAAGGTCAGCGCCACAGATAACTCACCATCGAGCCTGTTCGATAATGGGGACCACAATCATGGCTACCAGGTGTTCCGCATCTCCATTGGCGACAAGAACGATCACAAGCCGCATTTCCAGAAGATGACGTACCTGGCCGACAAACTGCTCGAGGATGCCAACACCAACTACGAGGTGATCGAGGTGAAGGCCGAGGACGAGGACAATGCCTCACAGATTGTGTACAGCATCGAGAGCGGCAACGTGGGCGACGCCTTCAAGATTGGCCTGAAGACTGGCAAGATAACGGTTAATCAGCGCCTGGACTACGAAACGGTCACCGAATACGAGCTGAAGGTGCGAGCCTTCGATGGCGTCTACGATGACTTCACAACGGTGGTGGTCAAAATAGAGGATGTCAACGACAATCCGCCGGTCTTCAAGGAGGAGTACAGCAAGACCATACTGGAGGGTCCAGTTTTGTCCAACGATTGCATTCTCAATATCGAGGCCTACGATCCGGATATCAAGGATCGCAACGCTGACCAGCACATCACCTATTCCATTGTCAAGGAGGACCACAGAAAGCTGCTGACCATCGACAATAACGGCTGCCTGCGCCTCATCCAGCCGCTCGATCGCGATCCGCCCAACGGACACAAGAGCTGGCAGGTGCTGATCTCGGCCAGCGACGAGGATGGCGTTGGCACATCTCTGAAGTCGGTGAAGCCAGTGATCATCACCTTGGAGGACATCAACGACAATGCGCCCTTCCTGATCAACCAGATGCCAGTCATTTGGCAGGAGAATCGTAATCCCGGCCAGGTTGTCCAGCTGCTGGCCAACGACTATGACGAGCCGCAGAACGGGCCGCCCTTCACCTTTGGCATCGACAGCGAAGCGTCCATAGACATCAAGTCCAAGTTCAGCATCGACAACGACTACCTCTTCGCCAACGTGCAGTTCGATCGGGAGCAGCAGAAGGAATACTTTATACCCATTCGCATCAGCGACGCGGGCGTGCCCAAGCAGAGTTCGGTGAGCATTCTGCATCTGATCATCGGTGACGTGAACGACAATGCCATGTCGGAGGGCTCGTCGCGCATCTTCATGTACAACTACAAGGGCGAGGCGCCCGACACGGACATTGGCCGCGTCTTTGTGGATGACGAGGACGACTGGGATCTGGAGGACAAGTACTTTGAATGGAAGAGCGGCATACCGCATGAACAGTTCCGTCTCAATCCCAGCACCGGCATGATAACCATGCTCCAGGGCACAGAGGCCGGTGAATACTTGCTGGAGTTCGTGGTGACCGAGGACGCGCCACAGATACAGAAGCATTCCGTTGATGCCGACGTCACGGTCATAGTGCACGAGCTGCCGGAGGAGGCGGTGGACAAGAGTGGCAGCATACGATTCTATAATATCACCAAAGAGGAATTCATCAGTGTGCCCCGGGACGTAATGGCGGACGATGTCTTCTCGCTGAAGGATCGGCTGCAGCACTCGCTGGCCAAGCTATTCAACACCTCGGTCTCCAACGTGGATGTCTTCACGGTGCTGCAGAATGAGAACCGCACACTGGACGTACGCTATTCCGCCCACGGCTCGCCCTACTATGCGCCGGAGAAACTCAACGGCATGGTGGGCCAGAGCCAACAGCGCCTGGAAGATGAGCTGGGCCTGAAGATGCTGATGGTCAACATCGACGAGTGCCTGATCGAGAAGCTCAAGTGCGAGAGCTCCTGCACAAACGAGCTGCACAAGAGCTCCGTGCCCTACATGATCTACTCCAACACGACATCCTTTGTGGGCGTCAATGCGTTCGTCCAGGCGCAGTGCGTCTGCGAAGCGATGCCCGCCTCCCAGCCGTGCCTCAATGGAGGCACGCGCAGATACGGCGAGAACGACGCCTGCGACTGCATCGACGGCTTCACGGGCCCCCACTGCGAACTGGTCTCGGTGGGCTTCTACGGCAACGGCTATGCCTTCTACGAGCCCGTATCCGCTTGCGACAATACGCGCATCAGCCTGGAGATTGCGCCACAGCACGAGCAAGGACTTATCATGTACCTGGGTCCGCTCAGCTACAATCCGCTGCTGCCGATCTCGGACTTTCTATCGCTCGAGCTGGACAAGGGCTACCCGGTGCTCAGCGTGGACTACGGCTCGGGCATGGTGCGCATCAAGCATCAGCACATTCAGCTGCAGGCGGGCCGCTCCTACCAGCTGGACATCATACTGCAGAGGGCCAGCATTGAGATGACCGTCGACAACTGCCGTCTGTCCACCTGCATGAGCCTGGGCGCTCCGCAGGGCCCCAACGAGTTCCTCAACGTCAACTCGCCCCTGCAGCTGGGCGGCACTCCCGTGGACCTGGTGCACCTGGGCCGGCAGCTCAACTGGACGCATGTGCCCAATCAGCAGGGCTTCTTCGGCTGCGTCCGCAATCTGACGATCAACGAGCGCACCTACAACCTGGGCATGCCGTCTCTGTCCCGGAACATCGACAGCGGCTGCCAGCGGGCGGTGGCTGTGGCGGTGAGCTTTGGCATCGATCGCAACTTCATCATAGCGATCATCACGTGCATTGCGCTGCTGCTGATCATCCTGCTGGCCGTGGTGGTGCAGAAGAAGCAGAAGAACGGCTGGCACGAGAAGGACATTGACGACATTCGTGAGACGATCATCAACTATGAGGACGAGGGCGGCGGCGAGCGAGACACCGACTACGATCTAAACGTACTACGGACGCAGCCCTTCTACGAGGAGAAGCTCTACAAGGATCCGCATGCGCTGCAGTCGGGCATGCGGGATCCCAATGACATACCCGACATCGGTGACTTCCTCGGCGGCAAGAAGGAGAACTGTGACCGCGACACGGGCGCCAACACCGTCGACGATGTGCGGCACTATGCCTACGAGGGCGACGGCAACTCGGACGGCAGCCTGTCCAGCCTGGCGTCGTGCACCGACGACGGCGATCTCAATTTCGATTATTTGTCCAACTTTGGGCCACGCTTCCGCAAGCTAGCCGATATGTACGGCGAGGAGCCCTCCGACACCGACTCAAATGTGGACGACGAGCAGGGCTGGCGCATCTGAGAGGCGTGCAATTGGTAGCCGAACCGGAGTAGAACGAATGGAAGAACGGTACGAAGAGAATAGCGAGTACGAAATTAAAAGACTTTTACGATAAGTGTGCGTAGGGCGCCGGGACGACGGCATAGCCGGACGGACCCCACTCGGCCTATCGACGTGCCGTGCGCTTGAACTAGACATTGCAAATACATATATAGATTTTTTATACAATATTGAGGAGCATTGCAAGGGCATAGGAACACATTATTATTTCTGTCGACCATCGATTGTCGCAGAAAGTGATCTTGATCTTACGTAAAACAAATCTAAACTTTAATTTAGCGAAGCAACTGCGAACAAAATATCATTGCAGCATTGTTGTCTGTATTTTTCGAAGAAAAAATATAGGAGTCAACACAAATATCATATATATAGAGAGAGAGAGAGTATATGTCATACATACATATATATATATACACATCAGTAGCTTAGATATATATAGATAAATATATATATATTTATGAATTAAACATCTATGAAATAATCAAAATTTCAAAACAAATATTCCTACATCAAGAAAAAAAATATATATATATAAAAATAATGAAAACGCATTGCATTTGATTTGCATATTCCCAACAATAGATTTAAGACTAGTTCTTAACGCTAATTTAAATCTATATGTAGATTCGATAAAAGGCATTACAGTATATTTTATGCTTAGACAGACTCCCAGATCCAGATGTACAGGTTGTGGAGTCTCGTTTCAACTTCCGAATAAACAAAACTCAAGTTAAGACAAATCAAATTACATTTAAATTATGAAAAACAAAAAGAAAAAAAAAAAAAAAACGAAGCAAAACTCGAAATAGAATTAACTCAATTTAAGCTCTTAAGTTTTCACTGTAAATTTCGTATCATATATACATATATAGAGAGATACATATATGTAGGAAACAAATCAATCCAATTAATTACGATTAAGCCAAATACATATATGTATATGTAGAGTACATGTATTTGCGTGTGTGCAGTTATTTCTATGTTCCATATAGAGATCGAGTAAAATCAACCTGAAAACTAGAAGTTTTATGTGAAAAATGTTTAAAAATAAATAAATATGCGATATGTATTTTTTATAAGTCGTTTTTTCGTACAGAGTCCTAAGAACTAAGCAAATTTTTTACAAGCCAACAACATAAGATTAACTGACAAATTTATTTATATAAATAAATTTACAAATTTCAAACACACACACACACACACACACAACAATTGTGTAAAATAAACCACAAAATATATTTGAAAAAAAAAAAACACGATTTCTTTTCATTATTTACGATTTACAGCATGAAATGGAACTGATGTGTGACCTATGGAGAGATAAGAGGTGTGGGTAAATATGTATATTTATATATGTAATAGAATACACAATCGATCAGAATATGTGACTCTCTTAATGGGGTTAAATTTAAATGAAAATCAAGTAACAACTGTCTAGAAAAAAATATATTATATATTTTTATCACAAAATCTTGCTCGATATTATATTTACTATATGATCTATATACATATACATATAAGCTTCCCGTAAATGGTATTCGGAATAATGCCTAATCAGTTTGTACATATCACATTATATATTGTGTAGAATACAACCCCTTCAATAATTGATACGACAGATAGAGGTAGAATTGAGCATACATGCACATAATGTATATAAACATAGTATAGATAAGGCAATGTTCAATCGGGAAAAACGTACAAAACTTGTTCAGTTTTATGAGTACCGAGAATTGGCGAAAAATGGGGACTACGAGCTAGGCAAAAAGTGTGTGTGAAGCTTGAAGAGGAAAGAGCAATACTTGATCGCTCATCACTTTAACATCTGTGTATGTTCGACACTCGCTTTTAGGAAATATGATCGATAAGACAGCCAGAATTATGCCTATAAATCCAAATACAGACAAACCGTCTTATGAAAGCTCCAAAATAAACAGAGAACGAATGAAGAAATAAACAAACAACAACAAAAATACCAAATGCAGCATGAAGCGAACGTATTTCAAGTGGCGATGTTTACACAAGGCGAGGAACACAGTGAGCAATGGTGGAGGGGGCGGGTGGGTGAGGGAGAGATGGACAGCCGAACATCAGTGGAAGTCATTGACTGTGGCTACCGTGTGATGGTGTTGGAGGAAAAGCCCCATTATCTTATCAGCGGGCTTGACTCGAAAGTAGGCCGCCATGTCGCCGGCACACACTCAATGTGCATATGCATATGTCTGTGTGTGTGTGTGTGTGTAAATCGATTGAGGCACGAGCAAATGGATTACAGCGCGTGCATCAAACTGGGGCAAAGCTGGTGGCTAAGAATCGATGTGCTCAAGAAAATGGAGTGCAGGTGCACCTCAGCCAGCCCAAATCGATTATCGGCTTGGAATCGATTAACACATGCATATCGTAGTCGCTCAACTGTTAAATGAAGCAAATATCGATACAAAAGAAAAATGCTCGGAATTCTTTAATTATCTCTTGCAGTTGCCCGCCAGATGCTCATAAATTTCAAGCAAATTACGTTTCAATTGCCTCTCGAATGTATCAATAAAACATTTTTGATCAAGCTGAAAGTCCAAGAGAATATAGAATTTATGCATATATATGTATACAGACTTACACGTCTTGCTGATGTAATGGCAAAGGCTTTCTTGGATTGCGGAAAGGCCCAAAAACGAACGACAGATGCGTTTCTATCTCGGCCAAACAAGCGATAAAAAAGGAAGAAAAAAAACAACAACATTAAAATCCAAAAAACTGCAAAAATTATCAGAATTGAGGATGTTCAGCTCAGGTAGAGGCGACGGCTGTCGAAGGGCACGACGCAGAGGAAGCTGAAAAAATGGCTGTTGAATAATCAAATAACCTTTTGCTACCTGTCCGAGCTGTGCGCAGCTGCAGCTGCTGCTCAGGTGTGTTTGTGTAGCTGTGTGTGTGTGTATTCCGGCACGGGCATTGGGACTGGGATTGTGCCCGGGATGTTTAGCCAATGGATTAACATAAAAGAGCGACAAGGCGAACGAAGCGAACAAAGTGTAAGATGCAAAGCAAAGCCAAGTCGAGAACACGGCTCAAATGCTACCTGGACAGACGCATACAAGGCAGCTGCTGTTGCTGCAGCTCGTGTATAACAAACTATTCATGTGTGAATGTGTGTGTGTGTGTGCTGTCGGATACATACGAAACACACACTCATACATATATGTCCATAAATGTAGCCAGCGTAGCCGTTAACGGAAAAATGAAAGCAAATCTTTGTAACGAACTTGGCCGCCTGCAGAAAACCAGTATTTTTGGAACTGCTTGACAGCGAGGTGTGTATCTGTTGCCTGTCTTGCTGTACTCCATTTATGCGCTCGCTCGCTCGCCCTCTCTCTCTCTCTCTCTCTCTCTCTCTCTCTCACTCTTCTTTTCTGTTCTTGAGTGAAGTTTACAGCTCTGAGCTTTGAGTGCACTTCGTGTGTGTGTGTGTGCTTGTGTGTTTCTCTTTTGGGCTGCTCATTCGCCAGCTGCCGCACCAACTTCATTTGCCTCGTTTTGTTTCGTTCTTTCCCCTAGCTGAATTCATGCTCACACACACACTCTCTCTCCCTCTCTCTCTTCCTCTTTTTCCCGAAGCTGGGCTTGTCACGCACGATGCCATTGTATTGATATTGATGGGCACGTCTTGGCGTTTTACTACCTGTTGATGAGGATGCTGCTGTCGCTGACGCTGACGCTGCCGCCGCTGTTACCCATCTTTGTTGTCGTTCTGCTGCTGCTGTTGCTGCTGCTGCAATTTTGCTCTCGCCTCAACCCACACACACACACATACACACACACTTGCACATTTCTGCTCTTGATTAATAACAGGCAACTGGCTGACCATTAAGGAATGTCGTATGTAGGTACTCGTAGCGCTCCCGGCACCAGCTCCAAGTCGAACCAAAGTGCTCATTAACACTCGGCGACTATTCATCACAATTTCAATTACCAAGGCAAGCAGATGCCGAGAGGAACAAAGATGAGCCATTGTACAAAGCATATAAATACCTAGATACATAAATATATACATATACATATACATATACATATACATATACATACATATACAGATTCTTTGCTTTCATATGCATTGAGCAGCGTTCAAGAATCCTCCAGCTGTGCTGGCCCACTCCAACACCCACAAACCTTTTAAGACGACACTAATAACTCTATGAAGCCATGAGACGTGGCTGTTGTATTAAGTTGGCTATTAGCTGGTCAACATGCCAACAGGTACACAGGTAAGACAGCTACCTGTGTTGCTGCTGGCCAGCCAGACGACTAGAATCAATAATACAGATCGCTCATAAAGGGAAATTTTTGTGGCGACGATTGCTGACCAATTGACAGACAGAGAGATAGACCATCGAGGCCTAGAGAAATGCTGTTTGGCGGGACGTGCCGACTGCAAATTCTTGCCCATCAACTGATTTGCCATGCCTAGCACGTACACACACACACACACATACACAAACACAAATCGCTACTGTAAGCTCTATCGTAGTCGCCGCGTTGCACCGTGAGGCCAAATTGGCTTTTGAAATGTCAAAATTGATGCAGCTCTTAAGCCGAATATGGTTTGAGCATTAAGCAGAAGACATTTATTCATATTTGGCTGAAGCACCTTTTAATTGAAATAGCCAAAGTGGGAAATACATAACTTTAATAAAGCAACATTACACATTCCACAAAAGCTGCTGATGAATTTTAAATATATTTTTAAAATGTAGGTATATATATTTAAATATTTATAATATTTGTTTTAAGAACTTGAGCTTTATGTTTATATGAACTACCTTAATGTTTAATAATCAGATCAGTTTCACAGCAAATCTGTTTATATCTGTATATCTGTATATAAATAGATATCGGATATACATATATGTAGCTCTGTTTATAAAGCAGTCTAATATACAATAAGTACGTAGTATATAAATATAAATAATTATATAAAATAAATTTCAAATTTTAAAACTTTTCTCTACGATCTTTAAGTCTCACGCCACACTGGTGGCAAAAATATTATGCAAGCCCCTTTAAAGCCACAGCCAAACAAACTGGAAAGGCGTTCCACATACAGCTAACATGTCTTTTTTTATAGTTTTTAAAATT